AGAGAGGATTCCCTGATTCCTCAGGGAGTTTTTCCCACCCAGGAAGGATTCCCCAATTCCTCGGGGAGTTTTTCCCACCCGGGGAGGATTCCCGGATTCCTCGGGGAGTTTTTCCCTCCCTGATTCCTGGGGGAGTTTTTCCCACCAGGAGAGGATTCCCTGATTCCTCAGAGATCCAAACTTACTCTTTTCGGGCAGCTCGAACATCAGGATGTCTGGAAAGGGGGAGGGCAGAGACACATTAATTAATATCGGATTTATTAATTGGTGATTAGTCAATAATTCGCAATAAATTTAATTAATAAAATGTACCTTATAAATAAAATGCATGGAATATGCCTTATAAATATACCTTATAAATGTAAATGTACCTTATAAATAAAATCGCAATAAAATAAAATTGCAATAAAATGCAATAAATTAAATAAAATATACCTTATAAATAAAATATATATAATAAACCCTATAAATATACCTTATAAATATGAATATACCTTATAAATAAAATCACAATAAAATTAAATCACAATAAAATGCAACAAATAAAATAAATAAAATATACCTTATAAATAAAATATATATAATAAACCTTATAAATATAAATATAAATATACTTTATAAATATAAATATACCTTATAAATAAAATTACAATAAAATGCACCCTAAGTAAATAAACATAATTTAAGGCCACACCCCCCTATAACAAACGTAATAAACACATAAAATTCAATCTAATGAATATAAAAATAAACTATAATCACCACGATACCTTGGAAGCTCCTCAGGGTCTCCTCCAGGACCAGGTTTTTCTCCCTGAATTTGCCGATTTTCTTTTCCAGCCCCGGAAGAGGCGACGGGGGCAGCTGGAAATGTTCGTTTTGGAGCCTTTGGGAAGGAGGGAAGGAGGAATTTTAGGGAGCCCGAGGAACCCCCTGACCCCAAACCCGAATATTTTGGCCTCCGAGGCAGGAGAAACACGAGATCCAAGCCCCAAATCCCAGCCTGGAAAAGTCGGGAATTCCCATCCGTGCCTGCTCAGGGTGCTGCCGATGTCCTGGAAAGGGAGAGAGGGAAGAGGGAATTCAGGGAATGGGGCTTGGAATCAGGGAAAGGTTAAAATGGGAGATTCCCGAGGCTGTGGGAGGGATTCAGGGAAACATTAAAATGGGAGGAGAGAGAGGGAAGAGGGAATTCAGGGAGAGGGTTTTGGAATCAGGGAAAGGTTAAAATTGGAGATTCCCGAGGCCACGGGATGGATTCAGGGAAAACTGGAGATTCCCAAGTCCATGGGGTGGATTCCCAGCTCCATCCCCTTCCCCCCTCACCCTCAGGAAGGTCCTGGTGGGTTCCCGGCTCTTCTCCTCCAGCTCCTGGATGCGGTTTTCCAGCCGGGAAATCTCCTGGGTCAGGCTCGTCAGGTTTTCCTCCTGCTCCTTTTCCAGCTCCTTTTCCAGGTCCCGGAGCCGGGCCAGGAGCCCCCGGGCGTGATCCTCCAGGGACACCCGGAGCCCTTGGAAGTGGGAGAGGATCCTCTGCCGCTCGGATTCCGTCTTTTCCTGCGGGAACGGGGGCGGGATTTGGCATCCAGGAGGGATCCCAAGCCCAGGGATGAGACCCCCCCAAAATCCAACAGGAGACACCCACCCCCCACATTCCCAAACAGCGAGATCCCGGATTTCCTGAGGAAGCAAATCCCGAAATTCCCAAGCAGCGAGATCCCGAATTTCCCGAGGAATCAAATCCTGAAGTTCTCAAGCAGCAACATCTGAATTTCCCAAGGAATCAAATCCCAAAATTCCCAAGCAGCATGATCCCGAATTTCCTGAGGAAGCAAATCCCAAAATTCCCAAGCAGCGAGATCCCGAATTTCCCGGGGAAGCAAATCCCAAAATTCCCAAGGAAACAAATCCCGAAATTCCCAAGCAGTGAGACCCCGAATTTCCCAAGGAAACAAATCCCAAAATTCCCAAGCAGTGAGATCCCGAATTTCCCAAGGAATCAAATCCCAAAATTCCCAAGCAGTGAGACCCTGAATTTCCCGAGGAATCAAATCCTGAAATTCCCAAGCAGCAAGATCCCGAATTTCCCAAGGAATCAAATCCCAAAATTCTCAAGCAGCGAGACCCCGAATTTCCCAAGGAATCAAATCCCGAAATTCCCAAGGAATCAAATCCTGACCACTCCTCCCCTCGGAAGATTTACCAAACACTCCCAGTTCCTCCTCATTTCAGCCTCCCGGAATTCCAGGAGTTTGTCCCTGTCTTCCCTCAGGGTTTGCAGCCGGGCCTGGAGTTGTGCCTGAGGGAGGAGAGAAAAGAAGGAAAGGCCCCGTTTCTCTGGAAATTTGGGACAATCCCCCCCCAAAAAAAAACCACCCTGGGGAGGGGGTTCCGCTCCAGGAATTCTGGGCCAGGAAAACATTTCCTGTTTTTTTTGGTTGCCCACATTCCCGCTGGTTTAGGGGGGATCAGGAGTCCAAACGTGGATTAGGAATCCAACCAGGGATGGACCGGAGAACAACCAGGAATGGATCAGGAGAACAACCATGGATCAGGAGTCCAACCATGGATCAGGAGTCCAACCACGGATGGATCAGGAATCCAAACCATGGATGGATCAGAAGTCCAACCAGGGATGGACCAGGAGTCCAACCAGGGATCAGGAGTCCAACAGGGATGGATCAGGACCCCAACCAGGGATCAGGAATCCAACCAGGAATGGATCAGGAGCCCAACCAGGGATCAGGAATCCAACCATGGATGGATCAGGAGCCCAACCATGGATCAGGAATCCAAACAGGATGGATCAGGAGCCCAACAGGGATGGATCAGGAGTCCAACCATGGATCAGGAGTCCCACCACGGCCAAACCCCCCGTGCCAACCCTACAAAGGGAGGGAGGGCAACCACCCCCCTCCACCCCCCAACCCACCAAAGGAGCACCTCTGGGGGGTCATTCCCACCCCGGACCAAGTCCAGGGAATCCCCCAACCCCCCCCCCTTCCCCCCCTTACCTCGTACTCCCCCCGAGCGTCCCCCAGGGGCACCAAGGTGTGGGCACGGTGGGCACGGGACTCTCTGCAGACCCCGCACAGCGCGGCTCCATCCTCCTTGCAGAACACCCTGAGCGGCTCCCGGTGCTTCCTACAACCTTCCTCTTCCTCCTCCTCCTCCCCTTCCCCGCCCAGGCCGAGCCTGCGGGCGATGTCGAGGACCTTGGCGAGCTCCCGGCTGGGGCGGAGGCTCCGTTCCGGCGCCGTCTCCCGGCACCGGGGGCAGGGGAAGGTGTCGGTGGCCCACTCCCAGCAGCGCTCGATGCAGCCCCGGCAGAAGTTGTGGCCGCAGTGGATGGACACGGGGTCACGGAACAGCTCCAGGCACACGGGGCAGGAGGCCTCGGGGGGCAAATGGGACATTGGGGACCCCCGGGAATGGGGAGAGGCTTTCATTTGGGTGCTCACAGGGCGAGGGGAGGCGTCCCTTGGGTGTCACCTCCCTCCTGTCACCGCTTTTTGTCGCGCCCCCCCCCGTGCTGTCACCAGCTTCCTGTCACCCCCCCTCCTGTCACCCCCCTCCTGTCACACCTCCCTGTGACCAATTCCTGTCACCCCCTCCTGTCACCCCTTCCTTTCACCCCCTCCTGTCACCCCGTCCTCTGATCCTCTTCTTGTCACCCCCTCCTGTCATCCCTTCCTGTCACCCCTCCTGTCACCCCCCTCCTGTCACCCCCTCCTGTCACCCCCTCTCTGTCACCCCCTCCTGTCACCCCTCCTGTCACCCCCCTTCTGTCACCAATTCCTGTCACCCCTTCCTATCACCCCTCCTGTCACCCCTTCCTCTGATCCCCTTCTTGTCACCCCCTTCCTGTCACCCCTCCTGTCACCCGACCCTAAATCTCCCTCTCGACCCCGCGCCCGGCGACAATTCCCGGTGATTAACGCGCCCTTAATTAACGGCTCATTTACAGGGGCGCCGTGGTCACCCCGGCGCCGCTCCCCGCACCTCTCACCCCTCAAGAAATCGACTTTTTTTTTCCACATGAACCCAAAATAAAGTTGTTTTTCGAAACTTTCGAGCCCGAAAGTTTCGCTCTGAGTGTCCCGAGCCCGGCGGGGGAAAATTCGAGGTGAGAATTTTTGCCACCCCGACCCCCTTCCCGCGCCAAAAGGAGAAGTGAAAGGACCCGTAAAAAAAGGATTTGCGAGTAAAAGGATTCGTAAGTAAAAGGTTTGACCCCGATGGATCCCAGGATGTGACCCTGATGGATCCCAGATCCCAGGAGATGATCCTGGTGGATCTCAGCTCCCAGAATTTAACCCTGATGGATCCCAGGTCCCAGGATCTGACCCCGATGTCCCCCAGGGTTTTGACCCCGATGGACCCCAGGCTGTGACCCCGATGGATCCCAGCTCCCAGGAGATGATCCTGGTGGATCCCAGCTCCCAGGAGACGATCCCGGCGGCCCCGGGCGCCAACAGATCCTTCTGACCGACCCCATTATTCCCAATTTCCCGTTATTTCGAGTCCTTCCTCCTCTCCATCCCCTCACCCCCCACCGGAGCAGAAAAATCTCTCGGATCGGGATCATCCCAAACTTCTTGTTCTCGTTGACAGAAACCACGGGGAAAGGGGAATTTTTCCACCCCAAAATCCCCCTCGGTGGGTGAGGCAGGAGCGGGGGGGGTCACAGGGACAGGGGGGGTCACGGGCACAGCTTGACCCGTCCCCCCCCGCCCAGGAAGAGCAGAAAATCTCTCGGATTGGGATCATCCCAAACTTGTTCTTCCCGTTGACAGAAACGCCGGGAAAAGGGGAATTTTGGGGCGAGGCGGGAGCGGGGGGGTCACAGGGACAGGGGGGGTCACGGGCACAGCGTGAACTCCCCCCCCCTGCCCAGGCAGAGCAGGGGCAGGACCCTCTCCCCCCCGAAGCTCGTCGGGGGATACGCGAACAGCGGCTCCTCCTCCTCCTCCTCCTCCCTCCCACCATCGAAAAAGGCCACCCGCCCCCCCTCGTAGTCCAGGAAGACCCCCACCACCCTGGGGGGGTCCCGCAGGGCCAGGGGCACGGCGGGCGAGGCCAGGGCTTGGCAGCGGCTCCCGCAGTGCCCCACGGCCCAAATCCCGCCCCGGGGCTCGACGCGGACCCGACCCTTCCTGGGCACGGATTCCTTGGCCACCCCCAGCGCCCAGGCGGCCCCCCCGGCCCCCACCAGCACCCGCCAGTAGTGGCGGCCCGAGGTGAAGCCCTGCAGGGTCAGGACGCAGCGGGACGAGTCGAAGCGCTTGGGGTGGTCGGGGAGGGGCCGCCGGGTCCCCCCGAGGCAGCGGACGCGCTTCCCGTCCCCCGACAGCTCCAGCCGGGGGTGAGCCGTGTCCGGGTCCAGCGTCAGGGTGGCTGGGAGAAGGAGGGAGGGGGTTAAAGGGGGTTTTGGGGGGTTGTGGGGGTGGATGGAGCCGGGATGGGGGATGCAGGGGGGGTTGGATGGGGCGGGAGAGGGTTGGGAGGGTGGGGAAGGTGAGGGATGGGAGGGAAGGCAAGGGAGGGAGAGGAGGGAAGACGAGGGAGAGGAGGGAAGACGAGGGAGAG